CCTCACCCCTGGGAAGCCACGCACATGGGACATGAGTTGCAAAATTAGACAGGTGCTCAGAGTGGGTGCTCGAAGACAAGATGCCCTGGGGAAGGGCAAAGCCAGAGCCCTTCACCACAACCCAGGATAGAGTCCAAGGAATCACAGGCTGGCCTGAAACTCAAACCTGACCAGCGCAGAAGAGATTCAGGGTTGGCAAAGGGAGCATGTTTTCGCTCTTGTGGGCTCACGAGCCCTTGCTAAAAGGTCCCATTGTCTGCTCCTCTTTTATTTTTTAATTTTTTTAAATTTATTTATTTTTGAGAGAGAGAGAGAGAGAGAGAGACAGAGCATGAAGAGGGGAGAGGCAGAGAAAGAGAGAGACACGGAATCTGAAGGAGGCTCCGGGCTCTGAGCTGTCAGCACAGAGCCCGATGCGGGGCTTGAACCCACGAACCGCAGGATCATGACCTGAGCTGAAGTCAGACACTCAACCGACTGAGCCATTCAGGTGCCCAGAGATGCTTCTTTTCAATGGGCTTTCCTCTCTTCCTGTCTCTCGAATGACTGTCAGTACATTCTGGGATGTAGCAGTGTCATTGGAGTCATTCTGGGATTCCTTCAAAACCGCGTGGAAGTGTCCAGGAGTCTACATGCCTGGGCACTAACTCCCCCTCCTCAGGTTCCTCAGCCCCGCCTCTGCAGTAACCACCCGGACAGAGCTGGGTCTCTGTTTCCCCTCCTCTGCCATGTGGTACTTTGCACGTAGGTCACCTACTGACCACAAGTTCTTCTCTTCAAATCGTTTGCCCCCACAACCCTCAAGGCTTGCTCTAGGTGGAAGCAGGAAGGTGCCGGCAGGCTATTCCAGGACCTTGTAAATGAGGAGTGTCAGAGAGAAGCACAGAGGAAATCCACGGAGACTCAGCCACAGGAGAGGCCACATCCATCAGAGCAAGCTCAAAATGTCAGAGCCGGACTCAGGGCATTTCTTTCATTAATCAACCTGTGTATGTATGTACGACGAATATACCCGATAAGGTATTTGAGAAACCTATCAGCATTGCCTCTAGAGATAAGCAAAATGCTCAGCCTGGGTCCTGGATAAATGCTACCTTTTAAACAACACTTCCTGTAATACTAGAGAATTATGAACGAATAGAACATCTGGGTTGAATCCCTGTAAGTTGTATCCTTTTAAGTATTCATCCAATCATCCATCCGAAAAAAACATTTGTTGGGCTCCTCCTGTGTGTCAGCTGTATGCTGCACATGGGGGGATAATAGAGTCTAGCCAAAAAAAAAAAAAAAAAAAAAAAAAAAAAAAATGATGTGCTTCCCGCCCTCCTGGAGCTTATAGTTTTTCTTTTCCAGAGATAAGAGCAGAAGAAAGAGGGGATGAAGATAAAGAGTAACTCTGAGACCGTACAAAAAGCAAAATTGGACTCCATGTACTTGGTGAAGCAGAAAAGGGACAGGTGGGGAGGGAAGGATGCCTGGGTTAGGTCGGTAGGGATGCTGGAATAGTTTGTGATTCTTTCCATGGAGAGCCAGAGAACAATGAAGAAAACAATGTCTAGGGATGCCCAGCTAGAATGGGGAGAGCCTCAATTCTTAGTTCAGAAGCCTTGTATCATTGAGAAAACCCTCTCGATCAAACGCCACAAACTTAGGTTTCCATACTTTAAATTTACCATTAAAGACTTGACGGTATGAGTCGCTGGGATGGATGGTCTGTGTGTGCGCCCCGGTGTTTTCCAGAACCGCCACGCTGCCTAACCACCAAGTGAAGAGCGACTACTGTTCACATTCTTAAATATGTCACATGGTGTTGAAGCTTTCTCTGGTTTACCTCACCGAACACCTCGGCCTCTTGGTGCAGTTTGACTGGTTGCCCCGCAGGGGCAGCAAAGGATAAAAAGATAAGAAAGTAGGATTATAAGGCAGCCTGAGAGTCCCGCACAGTCTGGCAGAATACTACTGAAGGGTCCGTCGAAGCTTTGAAATGAGTTGGGGTCTTTGGGTCCATCTTAAAACAACGTTGGAGTAGAGACAAGTTAGAAGAAAGTCACAGATCAATGAAATCAGTCCGGAAAGCATCTTGGGAAGGCAATCTATTGCAGCATAGACTTCCTCTACATCTGTACTGTTCCATGAAGTAGCCGCCAGTCACACGTGGATCCTGAGCATTTGACATTGTCTGTTTTTGTCTTTGTTTTATGTTTTGTTCTGTTTTGTAAGAGAGAGGGAGACAGAGGATCCGAAGCGGGCTCTGTGCTGACAACAGAGAGCCCGATGTGGGGCTCAAATTCACGAATGTATGATCATGACCTGAGTCACAGTCAGAGGCTTAACTGACTGAGCCACCCAGGTGCCCCCCATCTTGGGGTTAGTCTGAATTAGGATGTGCTGTGAGTGTAAAATATACACTAGATTTTATGTAGTACTGAAGATAATGGCTGTAAAATATTTCAGTAATTTTTATAGTGATTTCATGTCAAAATGGTATTTGGGGTTAAACAACATATGTATTAAATAATTTTCAGTCATTTCTTTTTACTTTTTAAAAATGTGGTTCCTAGAAATTTTAATTAATAATTAATAATTCTATTATATATGTGGCTCTTGTATTTCTATTAGACAATATTAGTTCTAAAAATATTCCATTTTTGGTGTCCAGAGTGTATTTCTTCCTTTTTTTGTTTCTTTTTCCCTTTTTTAGTGGGCTCCATGCCCAACATGGGGCTACAACTCACCACCCTGAAATGTAGAGTCACATGCTGTACGGAGTGAGCCAGCCAGGAACCCCCTGAATGTATTTCTTAACTCAAAGATTACTTCAGGAAATAATTTCTATTTGATATGACTTCAGTTACATTAAAGCTCCCTTCAGGAGTTTTAACAGGGGATAAAAATCCCATTTTTGCAAAAGTCTAGCAAATAAGAGGATGAATGACCATAATAATGATCTAAATGGCAAAAAACTGATGATTTAAGTGAAGGGAAGTGATCTGATATATGGTCTTACGAAGACAATGTCCATGTAAGACATGGGGGGGGGAGGGGGGAGGAGGACTCCTAAAAATGAGGACCTGTAGTAGCACAATGGATTCCTGAGAGAGGTGGTGTTATCTCCTGTTTGAAAAATTTCAAACATATGGTACATGGTCTTTGTTTTCAGTTTTGACTGAAGTTGGAAGAATTGAACCTGGTGATGATGTGAAGGGATTGTAATGCAGTGGTTTTCAAACTTGACTGTACATTATAATCACCTGGAGCATTAAAAAAAAAAAAAAATCCAGCTGCCCAGACCACACTCTGAATGAAAGAAACCTCCAGATGAGACTCAGGTGTTTACCATGTGCCAAATTTATCAAGTTTGAGAATTTCTGGGATAGTTAAGAGCGTGGGCTGTGCAAACTGGCTTCAAATCCCAGCCCAGACATTAGCTAGCCATGTGTCCCTGGGCAAGATACTTAGCCTTTATGAACTCTATTGCAGAAAAGGGGGGAGGGGGGCTGGAAAACATGCCCTTATGGGATTGTCATGTGGTTTAAATAAGGTAATCTATGTAAACCACTTAAAAGAAGGTAGGCGTTGATCAGGTTCTCTAATGATTATGACTAACAGCTATTTTCTTTTTCTTTCTTTTTTTTCAGTTTGCCTACTTATTTTATTTTTATTTATTTTTTTTTTAATTTTTTTTTCAAACGTTTATTTATTTTTGGGACAGAGAGAGACAGAGCATGAACGGGGGAGGGGCAGAGAGAGAGGGAGACACAGAATCGGAAACAGGCTCCAGGCTCTGAGCCATCAGCCCAGAGCCTGACGCGGGGCTCGAACTCCCGGACCGCGAGATCGTGACCTGGCTGAAGTCGGACGCTTAACCGACTGCGCCACCCAGGCGCCCCTTGCCTACTTATTTTAAAAAAAAAAAATTTTTTTAATGTTTATTTATTCTTGAGACAGAGACAGAGCGTGAACAGGGGAGGGACAGAGAGAGAGGGAGACACAGAATCTGAAACAGGCTCCAGGCTCTGAGCTGTCAGCACAGAGCCCGACGCGGGGCTCAAACTCACAGAGTGTGAGATCATGACTTGCGTCTAAGTCCGACGCTTAACCCACTGAGCCACCCAGGCGCCCCTGACTTATTTTTAAAGCGAGAGCGCACGCGCACAGGCAAGCAAAGGTGGGGGCAGAGAGTGAATCCCAAGCAGGCTGCGCTGTCAGTGCAGACCCTACCCAGGGCTCGAACTCACCCACCTGGCAGATCACCACCTGAACCAAAATCAAAGTCCCTTGCTTACCAACTGAACCACCCAGGCGCCCCTCATTAGCAGCTTTCTTATTTCATATTCCTCTGGAAGACATTCCCAGCCATCGTTCCCTGATCTGAAACTCGCCGATCGGGTTTCTTGTATTTTCCTATAACATTCCTTTGTTCATACAGGAATTCACTTTTACAAGTGTTCACTAAGCATCTACTTCACTACAGGTGTGATGGAAGAAACAGGCACACCGGCCTCACCCCCTTGAAGTTTAAATGCCCTCATGCGTGTTTCCCAGTCAGATCTCAAGCGCCCGGAGCTGTGGGACCACGCGTCATGCCTGGCCAGCCCCGGGATCCAGCGCCCCGCGCTGCGGATTGGAAAGTGCAGGGTGCCAGGGATGGAAGGCTATGTTCCACTTGCTCTGCCACCTACAGCCTGGGTGATCGGGAGCAACCCTCTCGTGCCTCTTCAATAGGTGTGCTTCCTCGTGCGTAAAGTGGGGATGACCCACCCAAGACTGTCGTGAAGGCGACAGGTCGGCCCACGCGCGGTGGTTACAGCTTGTTAAGCGTCCACGATAGGGCCCTCCCGAGTCAGTGCCGCGCGCGCCCACCAGGGGGAACAGCAGGCGGCGGCCCAGCGGCTGCGCGCTGGACCGGCGACGTCAGGACCAGCGCCCCGCCCCGTGACCGTGACCGAGCGCGGCGCCGCGGCAGCGTCGGTCCCCGCTGGCCGCGCAGCCGGAACGCGATGGGGACCGAGGCGTCGGGGAGCGGGCCGGCGCTGCAGGAGCTCGTGCGCGAGGCCGAGATCAGCCTGCTCGAGTGCAAGGTGTGCTTTGAGAGGTTCGGCCACCGCCAGCAGCGGCGCCCGCGCAACCTGCCCTGCGGCCACGTGGTGTGCCTGGCCTGCGTGGCTGCGCTGGCGCACCCGCGGACGCTGGCCCTCGAGTGCCCCTTCTGCCGCCGAGCCTGCCGGGGCTGCGACACCAGCGACTGCCTGCCGGTGCTTCACCTCCTGGAGCTCCTGGGCTCGGCGCTCCGCCCAGCCCCCGCCGCCCACCGCGCCGCCCCCAGCGCCCCCGGGGCCTTCACCTGCCACCACGTTTTCGGAGGTTGGGGGACCCTGGTGAACCCCACGGGGCTGGCGCTGTGTCCCAAGACCGGGCGGGTCGTGGTGGCGCACGACGGCAGGAGGCGGGTCAAGATCTTTGATTCCGGGGGAGGATGTGCTCATCAGTTTGGAGAGAAGGGGGAGGGTGCTCAGGACATTAGGTACCCACTTGATGTCACCGTCACCAACGACTGTCATGTGGTTGTCACCGACGCCGGCGACCGCTCCATCAAAGTGTTTGATTTTTTTGGCCAGGTCAAGCTTGTCATTGGAGGCCAGTTCTCCTTACCTTGGGGTGTGGAGACCACCCCTCAGAATGGGGTCGTGGTAACTGATGCGGAGGCAGGGTCCCTGCACCTGCTGGAAGTCGACTTTCCAGAAGGGGTCCTCAGGAGGACCGAGAAGTTACAAGTTCATCTGAGCAATCCCAGAGGGGTGGCCGTGTCGTGGCTCACCGGGGCCATTGCAGTCCTAGAGCACCCTCCCGGCCTGGGGACCGGAGCCTGCGGCACCACGGTGAAGGTGTTCAGCCCAAGCATGCAGCTCGTGGGCCAGGTGGATACCTTTGGGCTGAGCCTCTTTTTCCCCTCGAGAATAACTGCCTCTGCGGTGACCTTTGATCACCAGGGGAATGTGATTGTTGCAGATACTTCTAGTCAGGCTGTCCTATGCTTAGGAAAACCTGAGGAGTTTCCAATCCTGAAGCCCATGATCACCCATGGTCTTTCCCATCCTGTGGCACTGACCTTCACCAAGGAGAACTCTCTTCTTGTGCTGGACAGTGCAGCCCATTCTATAAAAGTCTACAAGGCTGACTGGGGGTAATAGGGTATGGGGGGGGAGGGGGGCGCTCTGGGACCTGAAATCTGAAGGCCTGGAACTTCCGCTAATGAATTGCTGAACCCTGGATAAGTTAATCTCATCTATCCAGCAGGGATAATTATAACTGCCTGGCAAACTTATAAAGGTTGAGGTAATTATTAAAGAATAAAAGTTAAATCTACCATTTATCGAGTTTGTACTCCCTGTGCTAAGAAATTTGCAAATATTAGCTCATTTTATCCTTACAGCTCTACCTGGGGAGGTAATGTCTATTATTAATCCCATTTTAGAGATGAGAAAACTGAGACCCAGAGAGTTTAAAGACTTTCCCAAGGTCACATTTACTTACTGTGATAGTCACAATGGGAACTGAGTTCTGACTCCCAAATCCCTTGCTCCTAAATAAGATAACAGATGGGGGGGGGGGGAATATGTGAATGTATACTGTCACTATGTGTACTCTATTTACAGGTAGCTATTTCTTTTGGTTGGATGTGCAGAGAAAGGAGACTTTTTTTAGAGAGTTCAAGAGAAAAAGGACTGTGTGATGTGCATTGGTGTCGTTCAACATGCAGCTTCTTTGATGGCACGTTAGATGGGATAACTATAGATCCTGAGTTACTTGAGCAAGAAGAACAGTTGAATTGCCTGTTTAAAAGGCAAGCATGTCTGTTAATATCTGTGTCTCCCCCACCACAGGCACTCAGGAAATACCAGTTGGCTGGTGGAGAAAAGCCTGTGTGGGCCTAAGTTTTGTGGGTTTTTTTTTTGTTTGTTTGTTTTTTGTTTTTTTGAAAGAGAGAGTGTAAGTGGGGGAAGGGCAGAGAGAGAGGGAGACAGAGGGATCTGAAGCAGGCTCTGTGCTGACAGCAGAGAACCCGATGCAGGGCTCGAACTCTTAAATCCATGACCTGAGTTGAAGTCAGATGCTTACCGATAGCCACACAGGCACCCCTGGGCATAAGTTCTAAAGGACCACAGAACACTCTACATTCATACCAGTGGTTGGAAGGCTAAAGCGCAGTCTTGCTACCTGTTTGTGTTAATGAAGAGATAAGTCACCACAGCCCGTTGGTGGCAGAAATGAATTTGCCTTCCTTTTCCTAATCAGTGGTAACCTGGTCACTTTTGTGATAGAGATTTTATCTGTGCCATTTAAATTTGTCCCATTGCACACACTGTATACTCAGGAACCAGCTCCCTTGAGGCTCCAACAGCCTTCAGGCCACTGGTCAACGCTTAAATACTTCTTGAATTAGCTTTGCCCAAGATAACACCTGCTTCCGTGGCACAATTGATTGAGCACACAGGAGGAAATTTCAGGTGAGGCAGCCGGTTCATTATAAGCCATGTGTTTTAAGCTAGTATAAACATTTCAGGGTTTAGGGCTGCTGGAATAGTACCAAATCAGTGGCATCTTAGAAGCAGCAGCAAAATACATTTTTTCACGGGGAGGAAGTATTGGTTCTGAAAGGTCAGGATTTGCTTCAGGTTATAGCTGATGTTATCAACAGTAGGTTTCTATTATACAAACAGTGTTGGTTTTGTTTTGTTTTTGAGAGAGAGAGAGTAGGGGAGGAACAGAGGGGAAGAGAGAGAGAAAAAGAGAGAGAGAGAGAATCCTAAGCAGGCTCCACATTCAGCACGGAGCGCAGTGCAGGGCTGGGTCTCAGGACTCTGAGGTCATGACCTGACCCCAAATCAAGAGTCGGACGCTTAAACGACTGATCCACCCAGGTGCCCTTATTATAGTTTTAATAGATACAATGTAGATACCGGAGATAGCTCCTAAATTGTTCCAGAAGGTTCAATTTGTCCGTTGGAGCTAAAAGAGAGAGCCTGGTCCGTGCCAGTCCACAAAAGCCCATTGTGTTTTCACTGCTTCTGATGCACCACACTAAGATTTCAGGCACACTGGACCACCGTTTGGAAGTGCATTCCAAGCAGGGATTCTCATAACCCCTTCCCCCCACATTTGGAAGTCATCTTTAGGTCAGTGACCTCACTGATACCCTCAGTTGTGTAGCAGGAAAAGCTGTCTCAGGCAGAGATAAATGTTCAGGCTTGATCATTTGCAAGTGGGACAACCGTGGATTGACCTTTAAAAAGCTTTCCTCAGGAACGATGATTTTTGTTAAGGTGTAGTTATCCATTTTTGAAAGAGAAAGAGAGAGGAAGAAGGAGAGAGGCAGAGAGAGAGAGGGAGACCGAGAATTCCAAGCAAGCTCTGCCCTGTCAGCACAGAGTCCAATGTGAGGCTCGAACCCACAAACTGTGAGATCATGCCCTGAGCTGAAATCAAGAGTTAGACCCTCAACCGACTGAGCCATCCAGGCACCCCAGGAACAATGACATTTTAATGACTTCAGGGTCAGTGGAGACAATTCAAGGGATTTTCTCCTATTTGGAATTATTGGTGGCATCATCTTTGACTAGAGAGCTGTGCTTATGTCTGGTTTAGACAGCACTGGTAGGACAGGTGTAGGATGTGCAGCAGGTGTGGAGGTATGTGGTCAAGGTATTACTTGTTACCTTGCCATTACGCTACCGGAAGTATGGGGTGTGAGTGCTTGAGATGGTGTGGGAGCGAATCACACCACAAGGTGATAGTGAATGACCTTGGTAATACCTCTACTTGGTAGATTACCAAGTAATCTTTTTTTTTTAATTTTTTTTTAACGTTTATTTATTTTTGAGACAGAGAGAGACAGAGCATGAACGGGGGAGGGGCAGAGAGAGAGGGAGACGCAGAATCCGAAGCAGGCTCCAGGCTCTGAGCTGTCAGCCCAGAGCCCGACGCGGGGCTCAAACTCACGGACCGCGAGACCGTGACCTGAGCCGAAGTCGGACGCTCAACCGACTGAGCCACACAGGCGCCCCGATTACCAAGTAATCTTAAAGACAAAGGCGCTCTTCCCAGGAGTGGCATCATGGGGGAGCAGGGTTTCCCTGGGGGAGACACAAAGCTTGCTGTTCTTGGGTCTCCAGGCTGCACCTGCTAAGGGAACAGCCTCCGTGACCTGCAACGCAGCAGCTGTATTCATCTTCAGGACTGCATTCCTTAAAGCAAGCTGGTTAAAAGGCTCGCCATATTGCCCCACCCAACTCCAGGCTATTAAAGAGATTGGAGCCTCTGAGACCGGCAGGAAGATATGGTTGCAGCAAGAAGTAAAAGGTTCAGAGGTGAAGGAGGAGAACTGGAATGACCCTCCAGAGACCGGAGACAAAAGAATGTGACCAGGAGTAAATGTAGGAGCTAACAGTCTCTTCCTGAATGTCCCCCTCCGCCGTGTGCCTTTAGGCCAGCCCCACGCCCTCTGTGCCACCTGGTGAGTCCCTAAAAGCAAGCACAGACACTTTGGCTCTGGTCTCGGCGGTTGTGACATCATCTTCCATCTGTTCTAGTTTTGCCCAGTTCCTGATCCTTGAATTGTCTCCTGTTTTTGACCTTGCTCTGACTTAACCGCCTGGACTTGCTTTCTCAGTCTTTTTCCTTGGCATTTTCTAAGAACTTGAGTTCAGATGTATAAACCTCCTCCCTAGCGGGTCTCACTCTGGACCCCAGAACCCTAAGCCATCACCCATTTGCTAGTGCCTTACGTAGCCCTTTCCCAGCTCCTCACTGGGGTCTGCACCCCGCTTAGTGAGTGATGCCTCTTTTGTGGAAGAACCAGTACTCCGTATATCTCAGAAAAGCGAGGAAAACCCCTGGTGAATGAAGATTTAATCATCCTTACACCACCAGCCACAGGGAGAAGAAGAAATGCATACTGGTGGTCGGTGCTCCACTAATACTGAGCCACTATGGTGGTGAAGCATGGTTACAAGGGACATGAACTCTTTTCTCGAAGAATATGTAGGGGGGAAAAAGGGGGGGGGGCACCTGGGCTCAGTCAGTTAAGCATCTGACTCTTGGTTTCGGCTCAGGTCATGATCTCATCGTTCATGGGTTCTAGCCCCACGTCGGGCTCTGTACTGACCGTGCAAAACCTGCTTGGGATTCTCTTTCTCCCTCTCTCTCTGCCCCTCCCCATCTTGTGCTGTGTCTATCTCTCTCAAAATAAAGAAACTTAAAAAAAAAGAATATGTAGAAAATATGATAGGCAGGGGGCACCTGGGTGACTCAGTTGGTTAAGAGTCTAACTTTGGCTCAGGTCCTGATCTCGTGATCTGTGAGTTCGAGCCCCGTGTCAGGCTCTGTGGTGACATCTCAGAGCCTGGAGCCTGCTTTGGATTCTGTGTCTCCCTCTCTCTCTGCCCCTCCCCCACTCATGCTCTGTCCCTCTCTCTCTCAAAAATAAACCATTAAGAAAAATAATAATGAAAAAAAAGAAAATATGATAGGGAGGCTGCCGAGACTCACCACAACTACCACACTGAACTGTCCTGGCGTCTGCTGTGCCCCCTCCCACTGCCCTGCTGATGAGCCAGCCCTTGGCCACTGTGCGTTCACTGCATGACCCTCTCCCACAATAGCTGGTTGGATAGGCTGCACATCTCAACAAAGCACAGCCTATCTATCAATGTCCCACCAAGTGTATTGACTGGACCAGGAAACTGGCCTGTGAACTGGCCTGGGATGAACAAGTTTTCCCAAAATGGGGCAAGAAGATCTGATTAGAAGTTTGTCCTTGAAGTTGTAAATTGAGAAGTATGGACCAAATCAGGCAGGTGGAAGCCTTGGGGGATACTAAGCACGTACTCCTTGGGAGACAAACACAGAGCAGCATTGAGCAAGCCGGAATCCCAAGTGAGAAGCAGCTGGGGGCAGCGGGGGTGGGGGAGGAGAGAAAAGACACAAGGGTGAGGAATCCAGGTAGCAGTTGAGGGGGAAAAGGCACCCAGAGAAGCTGACGTGTGCGGGTTCGTTTTCTGCAACAGAAAACACCTAACAAAAATTATACCGCGTGGTTGATTTGTTTGGAAAAAACAACTTGAACCTACTAATATTGATGCCAAGACTAGGGAATGATTTGTGAGGGGGCCACACTCTCATCAGCACC